GGCCAGCCATAAACATAGCTTCAGTCCCAAGCTGGCAATTCTTACACTTAATATGTTTTGTCAGGCAAGTCTTCAATACAGATTAAAATGAAATGCCAAGTAATTTCCACCTCTCGGCCGCTCATGTCTGCGAACAATGGAGAGTGTTTTGATGAATGTCAGTTAATGGCACTTACGCTCTTGTAGATTTCATCCTCGCAGCAAGGCCTAAGAAATGGGGGGTGAGGGGGCTATCTGTGTGTGGAGGGGAGGGGTGGGGAAGATTGGTTCATAATCCCCTTCTTACTAATTTGATTCATAATGATGGAAATTGAAAGTGAACCAAAAACAAAATCAGGATGCCCAGAGAAGATGACCCTTTGTTGTTAATTAGGCTCAAAGCAGAAAACATGATTTCTACGAGCTGGGTCCACTAGGAGAAGGATTTCTTCGCATTTGCATGTTTGCCAGGCAGCTTCTTCTCCAGTGGAAGGGGCCGGCTGCATTGCTGAGGTCTAAGTCTTTGGTTCAACTGGAAAGTTTGCAGCAAGTCTCTCAATAGTCACACTTTCCAGTCAGTTCCATCCTGACACAAACCCGACGCTGCAAACCCCACAGGCTGAGCCTTGTTATCTCATTTCCCCGCACATCACTGCCTTTGCAATTTTGCATTCTGAACTCCCAGTGTGGGGTAATTTTGAAGAGTAGGATAAAAACTGAAGCGCCAGCAGAATTCTATCACCCAGGGATTTAAATCCTCACCTTCCTCACAACTGGCATGTGCAATGTACTTATTTCTCTTATCCTGTTCTTAAGCTTGATTGGGAGGATTTGGTTTTCGCTTATTCTCTTACTGCCTGGAATAGGAGCTTTAACTGGAAATTGCTGACTAATTTTATGGTTGTGTAGGTAACAGGGAACACTTCTGTCTGGTAATCATTGTGAACAACATCTCTCTGTATTCAAAGTCTAGTGAGTTACATTGGTATTCCCTTCACAGTCGCAGTGACCAGCCCATTGACTCAGCTTTGGTGCTTACACGTTTCTTGTTGGTTTCCTTTTTGGAATCACTGCTTACCAAATTTTGTAGTATCAAACCCAGCCTTTTTAGATGTTGAATCAAATAAATTCTTGGGAGGTGTGGAAAAATTATCTTCCGGAAATGGAAGTCCCAAGAGCAAGGGGAATAAAACTAAGGTGTGTTGGGCTCCTCTGTTCTCCTATGTACCCCATGCTCGTTCCCTCTCCCCCACCTCATCTGCAGAAAAACCCTCTGAAGGGGTTGCTGTCCCTAGCTCACCCAAAGGAAACTGAGCTCACTGGCTTGCTCAAGACCCTGCATGGCTAGGGATGCCAGAGCAAGGCAGACTGTTGGGTCTGTCTGACCCGAAGTCCAGCTCTCTCACTAAAAAAAAATCTTTAAAAAAAATTCCAACAGTAACTCAGGAATTGAGCTTACTTGCTTAAAAAAAAAAAAGAAAGAAAAAAAAGGTTGATAAAACAACCTTCTGGTTATACTTTTATACTGATGCTGAATCCTGTTTTAAATTTTTTTAACCTTGCACATTCCGGTCAGTGATTCGTCTCAAAGCATAAAACATGATTTCCGAGAACTGAGTCCACTTGGCAGAGGATCACTTTGCATTGAAGGAATCATACATTTTCTCATGTACGTTTCATAGGCCGTGTGAGTTTTCACCTTCCTGGATAACCAGGAATGTCCATTTTGCTGCCAGTTCCAGGCTTTTCAAAACTAAAGTTTTAAAGAGGTGCCTCTAAAACATGAATAAAACGGAATGGCATGAATTGGTCTCCCGTCTTCATCGGGGGCATTTGGAAAAGCAGTGGAGAGTAGGCAGCCTGCCTGCCTGTGAGGAAAGGAAGGGCCACACTCCCTGAAGACACCTGGGGACAGGAGGACTATGGCTCAAGCACAAGCCAAATGCCTGTGACTGACCCAGAAGCCCACAGCCACTCCCCGCCATCATGATTCAGAGGCACACTGTTGTCTGGGCATCTGGGGGATGAGCGCCAGCCTCCCGGGCTTGTCATCACTATCACTGGGAGAATGGTGGAGGCAGGGGAAGCATGTGAGTGAGGCCGAGTCTCCATTTCCTCACCCATTAAGTGGGGGCAATGATGTCCACCTTTCAGGGTTGCTGCAAGGCTTGGGGAGGGGATATGTGGAGCACTAGGCACGGTCAGGCTTGGTGAAAGATGGCTATTGCAACCGAGGGGTTGCAGAAGATTCCAGCAAAGCCGGGTATCTCTAGCCCTCCTCAGCTGCCCTGAACTCAGTTACTGCTGCTTTTTTATAGTCTGTCTCTGATAACAATTCAAGTCTTCTTGCATTTGGAGGGAGTATAAAGGTGGGAGTTTAAGGTGCCAGTGAGGTGAATATTGAGTCTTCAGCCCCGTCCTGGAAAGACTAATTCAGAAAAGCAGCTTTGTCAGGCCAGAAAGCTGCAGGGTGTCTCCTCAGGTTCTTTCCTCTGGGACCTTCTCAGGATCAGAGGGATTCTTCAGTTTCTAAATCAAAGTAAAATCTCTGGCAAAACACCAAAATGGAGCAGAGTGTCTCTGTCAGCAGGTTTTGCTTCCTGAAGAACCATTTCCGCAGGCAGAAACACCAGCGGTCACTAGAGGAGCAGGAGGGTTGCAGCCCAGGAGCTCTGCCTCAGCCTAGACCCTCCACCAAGCGGGAGGCAGGGGATTGTCTGCTTCCCAGGGCAGGAGGGGCATCCCTACAAAAGGATTGCAAGATTTTGCTAATTTGTGTTGGTGAAAACCTGAAGAATGTGAATAGGAATGGATTATGAGGATGTTGAACCAAAGATGATCCTAGGAGGGGCATCCCTACAAAAGGATTGCAAGATTTTGCTAATTTGTGTTGGTGAAAACCTGAAGAATGTGAATAGGAATGGATTATGAGGATGTTGGACCAAAGATGATCCTGAGAGATCCTGAATTGTATGTGTCAGCTGAGCAGCTGGAAGTGGCTCCAAGAGATAGTTTGGTTGGTTAGCTGAAAGTGAGACTCAATGGTTCTACATTCCATGTGGTTTCCAAAACTTCCTTGGCATCATGTAAGAGGATGGAATCAAAGGCTTAGAAGGCTGGGATGTGGGGATCGATTTATCATGTGCGCCCTGCACACCCACATTCACACTCTGTCCCTGGAGTAGGCTCAGAGGATACTCCCTTCAGTAAGGCCTTGAGCAGCCTGTCACTGATGGAGCCCCACTGGCCTGGGAGATCACTGTGGTGGTTGAGCTCTGTAGGCTGGGCACATTGGTGGGGGTGCTGCCATTGAGATAGGCTCTCTGATTTCAGTGGAGATGGTATAGGATCACCATGTGTCAGAGACCAGAGATAGGCACTTAACTGCCAGGGACAGAGTGGACACAGTTACCTAATGGGCATCAAAATGTTTTTCAATATTGCTCTCCAGGTCTTCTACCAATGTGAGTTGTGTGATGTTTCCTCTCTCCATTGTTTTTCTTTGCTTTTACTCCAACTACCTAAACACTGTATACCCTATCTTGGCTATGAATCAACTGATACCTCTATTTTGATCCTTTTAAATTTTTCTTCCACATCCTGGAGAAAACCTCTTCCAAGGACATAGTGGGTGCCACAAATACATTATCCTTTGACATAATGGACCCTGAGGCCAGAGGCGTAATTTAGAATGAATGTGCCAAGTGTGTGCCACTCTTTCAGGACAGAGCTGACGATGGGAACTCCCCACTTTGGTGTCTGGGCTTATTTCTGTGGTATTAGAGACACCCGTTAGTGAGCTGCCAATTACTGTGACTGTTGATTGAGCCCAAGGATTATCTTTTATTCCCTCTACCAGCCAAGGAGAATGTCATCCCATTTTACAGATGGAGAAACTGTCATCTAATCATTAGGTGTGTGTTGCTGAGCTTTCTCCTTCTATCCCACATACCCAGAGTGTACCTGCAAGAGCCCCTTTCAGACCTCCTAGAGTGCAGTGTGCTCATCTTAACGCCCCTGCCAACTTAGTTTGAATCAATGTCATGGAGGAGCTGACTTGCTCATCTTCACTTTGCTGGTCTGGACCCATTATAGGAGTCAAGAAAATTAAAAGCATTAGTTTCAAAGGAAAGCTAAAGATGTTTGCTAAATATGTATGGCCCCTACCAACCTGTGGTTTCATAAAGGTTAATTGGCTGCTTTAAGCTCCACTGCCTCAGTTTCCCCCATCTGCAAGATGGGGACAAAACCGTGACCTACTTCCCATCTTGTCACATCCCATTTTATTGCCTCTCAAGGACAAGGAGAACTGAAGTGAAACCATATCATCAGCTGAGAAGATGGGCTTTGCTAAAGATTTTCTCATTTCACTCCTTTCTCTTCAGCTTTACTTGAAAGTCCCCCTTCTCCTGCCCCCAGGTCTGTAGCTATTGCCTTAGCCCCCAGGAGTAGGAACAAAGGAATGACATCAGCTAAGTTGTGGGCTTGCTGCTTGTCTTAAAGAGTATCCCATCCTTTTTTCTTTCTAGTGATGTAGAATGGGAGGGAGAAGGGGGGAGGAAAGGATGGTGTCACAAACACACACAGTCTGAGAGCACCCAGCCCTAAAACAGGAAACTCTTCATCCTCTCACCACCTGTGCTTCGAAGATTCATAAAAACATGTCACTAGAAGCATCGCATGAAATGAGCTAAGAGGCACTTGAGGGTGCATGATAACGTTAGCTGTGCCCTGCCACTTTGTTAAAGAATGTGCAAGTGCAGGGAGAAATCCAGCACTGAGTGCCCAGGCAGGCGGAACTCTTCACCTACCACACCCTCCCTCCCTCCCCTCAACCACCTACCCCCACCCACAGTTTTTTAGCCCAGGGTTAAGATGGCAGGTCCATTATATAGTGGACCATCTTTCATGGCCCCTATGAAGTTCAGATAAGTCCCAAGGTTGCTTTTGCTGAGTCTGAAAAGGCTTGCCTTGAAGTTAAGGTGACTAGAGGGTGACTGATTCCTGAAAATTTCTTGCAGAGTGAAGGATGAGTTTGGACTTCTCAATTTGTGTCCAGAACAAGGATGGAGAGGCTCAGCAGCACCAACAGGTCAGCAGGTAGGTTTTTTCTGTGCTATATGATCGGGTTCTGAGTTGCTACAGCCATGGCCTTTGGCCAGGCACGTGATGGTCTGCTTTTGAGGCTCAAGGGTATTGTTATTTCCATCTCAGCAATAAGAAAACAAGCCCAGAGTGAGCACTGGCCAGTGTTACAAGGCTATAGAACACAGCAAAGTCAGGGGAGTTGTCAGCTCTGGGGCATGGAGACACGACTCATGTCCCTGCCTCTCTCCACCCTCCCTGGGATTCACTTCCCATGGGGAAGGGGTCCTTGCTCTTGTCTGTGCTTCAGACACTGTCTCAGAATATGGTCTTTCAGTGTTAACATTAAAATAGTAATACCTAGTGTTATGGAAGTATTTTACTTTGAGCAAAGTCTCAGGGATATTTGTCTACCCATTCCTCATTCAGTTATGTCAGTAAATAATTGCACAAATAATTTTTTAAAAAATATTACCAAGGAAGCTGCATGGACCCCTTGAATTCTGTCCCCTGCCTTGGTCTCTCCCACTTTCCTGTTCTTCCTGTTTGTGCATCTGGATAAGCCCCTTCCCCAGGCATGTGAGCACATCCATTTGCAGGAAAGCTACCCCCTACCCCCAGGACTGGAGGCTCTTTTGAGGTATGGTACAAAGAGCCAGAGTTCCAGAATTCACCAGCTCCAACTCACCTGTGTCTCCCTCAGGGGCGAACAGAGGTGGATCTTTGAGCTGCTCCAATAATGACATACTGGAAGAGTCAGTGTCAACCTCTGTGCCTCGGCCTAGAGTCTGGGGAGAGGACCCCCCATGAGGCAACTGCTCCCAGCCCCCAGAAGTTGGTTAAGAACTACAGGGTGATGTGGATTTGTAAGTTGTCCTTCAATTTTGCTAGTGATTTCTCTAAATAATGGCCAGGAGATCTGACAGGTCTGGAGGTGAGACTGAAGTGAGTCATTGCCGGTGTCAGCAGGTGTGTGCCAGTATCTCCCAGCTCAGGCTGCAGAGTGTAAGAGAGGGTGACTCATTCGTTCTCAGAAGCCTGTTCTTGGTTACCTTTCCCTGAGTATTTTGTGGTGGTGTTGAGGTAACTCATTTTGTTCAGAAGCAGAACTTCCCCTTACTGCTACTCTATGTAACCATGTTTCATTAAAGGGTTTTCTTCCTCCAAAACTCTATTAGCTGCTGCATTTTTTAAAGAGAGAATTTCTTGGGAGAACTACTGGAGAGAAGAGAATACAAACATATTGTTTTAGTCCTGTTCTTGCTCTGCTATAAAGAACTAAATGAGTCTGGGTAATTTATAAAGAAAAGAGGTTTAATTGGCTCACAGTCCCACAGTCTGTATGGGAAGCATGGCTGGGGAGGCCTCAGGAAACTTACAATCATGGTGGAAGGGGAAGCAACTTACGAAATTTCACAGAGCTCCAAGGCCAGGAATTGTGGGGAGGAAGCAGGACTTTCAAAAAGAAACATTAGGTCTCTGCTGCTAACCAGAAATGCCCAGCCAGGCCTTTGAGGTCTCAATGCCAGTCAAGTTTTCAAACAAATATACTTTCCAAATATACATTTTGTCTGACAAGCAAGCAGTTTGAGTTCTCGCAACAGAAATGCGAGAGCTGAGGCAAAACAGGCGGGCATGCAGGAGGAAGTGAGAATAGCTTACCTGCTCCTGTGGACAGAGCCCAAGGGCCCCCTTCAGAGCCCCCTCTGTCTGGGTGGGCAGTCTCAAGCTTGCCGGGATGGTTTGCCCCCAGGGTCCTGGGCAGGCAGCAGGATAAGTGAGGTCAGTAACCCCATGAGTACTGACCACAAGGTCAGGGTGTTTGAGAGAAAATGGAGACAGGATTGTCTTGTTCACTTACTAATAGGCATTTGTCATATGCCAGGTAAGGAAATAATCCTCCCATTGTCAGTATATCTTAATCCTCGTGTTGTCTATATGTCTCTCGAGGCTTGCAGGGGAGGGAAATGCTTTGTCAGAAGAAATCCCTTTTCGGAGATAATGCAGATGCATCTCCTTTTACACAATGGGCATGACCCTTAAATGAAGTGTGTCTCACACATGATATTCGGGGCAGCAAGGAAACTTGCTTTTTCACACGGTCCTCCTAGAGCTTTTGGGGATGTGACTCCTTAGGTGGATTTCATGTAAATTGAGTTTCTGTAAAGGTTTTTCTGCAATTTGCTTGGTTTCCAAAATAGCAACAAATACTATTCAGTAAAGGCAAGGAGCTGACAATCCTTAGTGCCTCAAGTCCTAGCCATCTCTGATGATCAATATTCATGGGATCTTTACTTCCTTGTTATTACTGCCTTCCCAACTGCCCTCTACCAGCCTGGTAACTGAGATGACCACGATTTTAAAAAAAGAAAAAAATCCAGCCACCTTAAAGCATTTAAAATTCAAATAAGAATTAGAAAAGCAGAGTTCTGAGAACAAGGTCAAAAGAAGGTCTCTTTCAGTTGTATGAAAGTATCACAGTTAAATCCTTGTGAAGAGAGGAACCCAAGCACTTCCACCCCTCAGACAGGTTGAAAGTATGGAGTATAACTCTAGAACCACCCAAAAGATAGGATTTAGACAACTTCAATTTGGCAAAAAAAAAAAAAAAAAAAAAAAAGACGCAACTACCTAAGGCATGAAATTCACACTGTGGAAAAGAAGAAATCATAAATTCCTTCCCTGATGCTAAGTCGCGTTCAGGCAAAAGCAAATTTTCTGACAGTGAATCAACCACTAAAAAAAGCTTCCTGCAGCACAGGGCACAGAGCAGACTTCGCAAACACTGGTGCTTATTATTCTGCTTCCAGCCTTTATTTCTCCCACCTCTCCCCTCTGAAAGCCACGCTCAAATACAGCAATCCATCCGCAGAAGAGCTACGCCTTTCCAAGATTAATTACAAGCAGGGGCCACGTGTCTGGGCTGGATATGTGATTGATCCTGCAGGAGGAAATGCAATGGGAAGCTAATGAGAAGCTAATGCTGCCTTTTATCCAGTAAGCAAAGTTCAGAGATGTTTACATTCTGCTAGTTAAGCAAGACCTAAGATGAATGGACTGTCTTCTCAGCATGAATTCTCGCCAAGGCAACACATACGTATGTCTCAGAGGACGTCACCTGGGCCACAGAGGCCAGAGGGTCAGAACTCCTAATTTTGCAAATAGCTTGATTCCATCATGTTTTAATTAGCAAACTGATTCTATTCAAGAGATTGGTGAATGAAAAGTAGATTAAGATCAGTGCAACAGAATTCAGATGTATAGGATTAGAATTGGGATGTATAGACCAGTGGGAGGTATGAAGACTAGATAGGGGTCCTTTCTGCTAATTCTATAATTGGCAGGCAAGAGAGTACTCTTAGCACACTGGATGAAATGTGCTAAGATGCTGGAATTTCCTAATTTTTACAGAAAAGGAGTCTTGTTTTTGCCATATCCTCCCCCCAGGAGAAAAATTAAAACCTGAGTACGGGATTAATCAAAACAATTAAAGGAGGAGGAAAATATTGCATGTGGCATAGCTATACCTTGGAAAAAATTAATGACAAAGAGAGTTGGTAATTCAGGAGGTCCACCCTCGACTCTGATGCCCAGCAGCTGAAATGGCATCACACCAAAGATGTGGTATGTAGCCTGGAAAGTCCCTGGTCTCTATGGCCACTTGGTAGCTATGACTTTGGGTAAGCTAATTGTCATTTCCAAGCTTCCATTTCCTTAAGTGGGAAATTGATAAAACAGTACTTTCTCAATTAAAGAAGATAATGGGCCGCGCATGGTGGTTCACGCCTGTAATTCCAGCACTTTGGGAGGCCAAGGTGAGTGGATCACGAGGTCAGGAGATCAAGACTGTCCTGGCTAACACGGTGAAACCCTGTCTTTACTAAAAATACCAAAAATTAGCTGGATGTGGTGGTGGACGCCTATAGTCCCAGCTACTCAGGAGGCTAAGGCGAGAGAATGGCATGAACCCAGGATGCGGAGCTTGCAGTGAGCCAAGGTCGCACCACTGCACTCCAGCCTGGGCAACACAGCGAGACTCCATCTCAAAAAAAAGAAGATAATGAATGTGAAGCATCCAGGCTGGTAAGAGGAACATAGTAAGTGCTCAACTAATGATAATAGTTTATTTGTTAGACGTTCCAGCAGCACCTGGGAACAGCAGGAGGGAAAAGGCAGTGTTCAGTGTCTGGGTTGGCAAGGGAAGCAAGCATACAGCTCTTTTGTGTAGCAAAACACTTTTAACACGGAGGGCAAAACTCCTGTCCTGACACCAAATAGGTTTAATGTCCTGCCCTCACAGTTACCATAATGATGCCTAGGCACTCACATCAGGATGCACATTGAGCTCTGTCCAAACATGGGGCTTTCAAATCTATACATGCACACCATCATTTAAAACTACTCATAAGTCTTAGCAAGGATTAGACTAGAGTAACACAAAAAGGACTGTATGGAGCTGAAGGCTATTTGGAGCAAGAAATCAGCCAGGCTGAACTGTGGTTTAACAGCAGTGAGCACCGCCTCATCCCTAGAGTCTGCGTTGGAAACCGGGCCCCATGCTGGCAGCGTTCCCTCCCCAGTCCCACATAACTTTCACAACATCTACACGAAAGCTATGGGGTGATGAGGAGACAGATGGATGGAGAATTGGAGAGGGAAGCCCAGGTGCTTTGCAGGGGCTCCATAGCCATAATGGCCATTATTTATGGAGCACTTATAGTGTTCCCAGTGGCATGCCATGCACCTCACATGTACTTTATTTAATCCTCACAATAACCCTGCTGTGTAAAACCAAGTCTCGCCATTGCTAATATGGGGATTTTAAGAGTCTCACAGGTCAAGTAACTTGCCCAAAGTCATATAGCAGCAGGCTAGGACTCAGGCCCTGGGGAACCTAATCACAGTCCCAGTGCTCATACCCCCAGAATGCTTCCTCACATCCACCAAAGGCTACCACGGTAACACAGAGACCAGCGGGAGGTATGGAGACTAGATAGGGGTCCTCACAGCCAGATTTCTGTAATTCGCAGGCAGGAGAGTACAGTTCATATCTGAAGACCCTAAAAGATATGCCCATGTGGAATATGATGCACTCTGCATATGTACTACACAAATGGCAGTGAGTTTTGACAAATTCCTCAGTCTATGCTAATATCAGCTTACATGTACCCACTGCCTGCTATATGTGTACCATCACTGTTCTGATTGACGTGTATTAACACAGAATCCTTACACAGCAGTCCTGTGTGGCCGGTGCTATGGTTATGCCTGTTTTACAGATGAGCAAAATGAGGCCAGAGAGGTAAAGCAACATGCTTGGTGTCACAGAGGTAGAAGTGATCCAGCTCCCAGGCTCTTACCCGCACGGGGACACGAACTAGAAGAGCAATACACTGTGGGGCCTGGAGATTCAGCTCCTCCCTGTGTCAGGTGAATACCTGACAAAGGCAACTGCAGGAAGGGATGTGCCTCATCTAATAATTCATGTTAATGATTCCACTAAGCCTTAAAGAGGACAGCACCAAAGACAACAAGTGACAGACATGCTTTCCATCCTCAAGCCCTTCTCGTCCTTTATGGTAACTGTGAGGGTGGAACGTTAAACCTATTTGGTGTCAGGACAGGACAGGACAGGATTTTCCAGCCATGGAAAAGAGATGTTTAGCTGATCTTCCTGTTTTAACCCTTTTCACTTAGCATATTTAGCTGACGCTGGGTGGGGCTGCCAGAAACACTTTGGAGGCATGCTGAGTGGCGCCGTGACATCCTTGTCCGAAAGACATGGCCACTGGCTGGCGTCCAGCGCTGTGGTTGACTTTCAAACCATATAATTGAAATCATTTTTTTTAAAAGGAGGGGTAGGTGCCAGAGTAGGAGAAAGATCTTGGCAAAAACCTTATATGCGCTTTTTCCACCATTGGATTGACCAGACAGGGCCACAAAGCTGATACAACAGGATTAGCAGAATTGCATTGTTGGACATAGGCACAGCGTGACAGGTGCTACAGCAAAGGCATTTGGCAGGATTAACCTGCCAAGGATAAAGATGTAGCAGACAAGGGGCTGAATTAATGGACTGGCATGACCGAAGCAGGGAAATCTATTTGCATGCGATATTAACTGTGCTAATAAACTCCAGGCTGAGCTCGGCAGGCCAGGCAGCCTCTTTGAACTAGGGGTTTTATTTTTCACCTAGAAGGCTTCTGCCAAGATAGGCTATGCTTTACAGGTTGCCTTTTGTTTTTTTTTGCCATCATCTTAAAGTAGACGTGCTGTCTTAAATGCCTACAACAACATGTGTGCTTTACTGACCATGTAGAATGATTCTAATACCTCAGAATTTGGAAGCCAAAAAAGGTCCTCCATTTAGAGGGTGATTGTCTATGAAAAAGCAGTGAAGAAATATAGATAGAGCACACTCTGGAAAACATCTACTTGGGATAGGTTGTCTTGTCTGAGTTTTATATTCTGATTTCCTGAAAGTCAGGGTGGGTCTGGAGTGAGCAGGCAAGATGCCCAGGATGCAGAACCTCAGGAAGCACCCATGGTCTAGCTCAGACGAGAGCAGGATCAGCACGGAGGGTGCCTCTCTCCTCTCGCCCTGGCCCCATCCTGGCAACAGCATAACATCCACCCATTCAAAACCATGAGTGGACTTGAATACGCTTCACACTGACACTAACTGCACTGCTCAGTGTTGGGAGGTGGTCCAGGAAGCGTTGTAAGAGACTGAGGAAGGGAGCCAGTAAAGGTTATCCATCAGGTTACTGCTGCTGGCACGTGCGGACCTCTGTGAGCTGGTGTAGAACACATCACAGGGTTATCCCACCCAGGGTGCCAGAGAGCCGGGTGTTTATCCACCAACTCCTGTCTGTCACTGGTTGATGCTCCTTGGAAATGTTAACTCCTTGGCCCCCAGCCGGCCCACATGCAGCCTGAACACACTCCTGCTCCCATTCCTGACCCAAGGAAGCCCCTAAGCCAAGAGTCGCACCCTATATATATACGGAATGGAGGTGCTAGGCACAAACAGTGCTGGCCACATGGCAAAATTTAATTTTCTTCAGAAGTCAAAGCCACATCAGACTCCCACTGTACTGAGGCCCATCAGGAACGTCAGTTTTTTTTTGTTTGTTTGTTTTTTGTGTTTTTTTTTTTTTTGGAGACAGAGTCTCGCTTAGTCGCCAGGCTGGAGTGCAGTGGCGCGATCCTCGGCTCACTGCAAGCTCCGCCTCCCGGGTTCACGCCATTCTCCTGCCTCAACCTCCCGAGTAGCTGGGACTACAGGCGCCGCCGCCTCGCCCGGCTAATTTTTTGCATTTTTTTAGTAGAGACGGGGTTTCACCGTGTTAGCCAGGAATGGTCTCGATCTCCTGCCTCAGTGATCTGCCCGCCTGCGGCCTCCCAAAGTGCTGGGATTACAGGTGTGAGCCACCGCGCCCGGCCAGGAACGTCAGTTTTTAACAGAGCCCTAGATTTAGAGCAGCAGTTCCCAAATCTGATTTATCAGAATCCTTGGGGTTGGGGGGTGAATTCCTGGACTTCACTCCCAAGCTGGCTGAACCAGGATCTTGGAGTTGGGGTCCAACCCTGCATCACCCACTCCCCACCGTGCAGGCTTCCTGAGCTGGCCAGAGTCAGTGGCTGATGGCAAACTCTGAATGGAATTCATGCTGATCCATGATGACCCTAGGAGGTGATTGACGAGGAAACACATCCTGCATTTCTATTGCAGTTATCTTTTTCCAGAACAGGCGAAAAATGTTTTGTTGATTTGAGACCTCTGATGTTACAAAGCTTAGATAAATGTCATGTCCTTGGTATTGCCTGCACCAAGCAATCATTATGTGATGTTTAAAAAAAAAAAAATTAGCTGACCTGACCCTCCCAAGCTAGTGGTGAAGGAGGACTAATGTAAGCAGGCCAAATTGGAAAGTAATAAGAGATAAAGGCTTTGGTTAAAATTGGCACAGGATTATTGGAATATTAGATATCTTGCATTCTCTTAAAGTGCCCTTGGAGTAGCTGAGGTGCTTAAGGAGGCAATAGCAGGTAAAAAGCCCTGAGGTGGGAGGGTGCAGGGTGTGTTCCAGCTGAGCTTTAGTCCACATGCCACTCGGGATGTGGCATGTCACACACCCTGTCAAGTGACATCTTCTTGAGCTCAAAAGAGGCTCCATCCACAAGAAAGGCCTGATCTTTTTACACTGCAGAAGACACCATATGGTCTTGCTCTGTGTTTCAAGATCTGAGAGACGGCGCCCAGGAGGAGGGAATGATGGTGGACGGGCAGGAAGGGCTGGACCCACAGGGGCTTGTGGGCTTTTGCGGGAAATTATTTTATACCATGTGTGATGGGGAGCAAATGAAGGTTTGAAGCAGGAGAGAGACATCTTCTGATTCATATTTTAAGAGGGTCACTCGGGCTGCTGTGGGAAGGTTGTGTTAGCCCCTTACCACCTAGACCAGACAAGAGGTGGCGGGGGTCTGGACTGGGAGTTTGGGTGGCCATGAAGAAATCCACTTAATATGGCAAAATATTGGAACTTTCTGGATATTCTGATGATTCATAGGGGACACAAAGAACAGATTTTTGCCATCATGGTGCCCTTACACCCCCTGCTTTGCAGGACTCCCTCATGGAATGGGAGCACATCCAGGCTGAAGGCCCCTGTGTTCCAGGTGCTGTGTGGGTGCTGACGTGCCAGGTGACTCCATGATGGCTTCCATCCTCAGGGTCACCATCAACTAAGACAGACTGAAGATGTAAATAGTAATGGAAGGACATGAAAGGTACAAGAGTCAGAGGCCAGGCCAAGAGCGCAAGCTGAGCAAGGGGCAAGGAAGGTTCCCTTGATGGCTGGGTCCAGAACCGGGACTGCAGAAAGAGGAGTTTTCTGGACAGAAAGGGGTGTGGGCCTTCCAGTCAGGTTCAGATCCACAGAAGCATGCACACGTGGTATGCTAGGGGCACCACCGTGCCATCAGGGAGGGGCATGCTGGAAAAGAGGCTGCAGAATCTGGGACTCACTCTATCCTGGGGCAATGGGGAGTTTAGGAGAGGGTGAGTCAGATCAGTGTGGTGTTTGCCTAGAGTCAGGAAGATGAGTTAAGAGGTCTGTTGAAGTAAAATTATTCATTACAGAATAGCACCGTGTATGTTTCTAAAATACTTGGTGCCATATTTATTCTCCTGAGCACTTAGAAAAGAATAACTGGGCCCTTGAGTCTTGGTTGCAATCATTCATTCATCCAACCAGTATTCATCAAGCGTCTCCCACATGGCCAATGCTGGGGACCCAGTGGTGAAGCTGGAGACGACTTCACTCTCACGCCATGAGAAGTGCTTTAAAGGAAGAGGACCAGATACCTGTAGAGCATGTTACAGAGGAGTCAGGTCTGGTCTGGGGTTGGAGGTCCAGGAAGTGACTGGAGTTGAAGCTTGAAGGAGTTGGTATTCAACATGCAAAACTGGGAAAGAGGCATTCAAAGGAAGTAGCTCGTGTGAGGGCCCTGGGGTGGGAGGGAGCATGGTTCATTTGAGAAGTTAAGAAAGCACAGAGAGTAAGGAGGAGAACAGGGAGGGTTAGGGGAGGAGGGGGTAGGGCCTGTGCCAGGCTGGCCCTGCCCTTTAAGGTGCCAAGTCCTTGCAAGCATTTGAAGTTAAAACATGATGGCCATTTGTTGATGATTTCTTGATCTCTCTGTTTCCCCTTAGGCACTGGTGGATTCTCGACAGAACCACAAAGTGGAGTTGGCTACAGATGAGTCTGTTCATGGCCTCAGCTTCCCACCTATTCCTGAGTCACCTTTTGCCCCTCAGACAGAGATGGGATAGCGCCAGGATGTGGGTTTGTGTTATCTAATTTCTTGGAGTTTGTACAGGTTTTACCTGGTACCAGCGTGACCTTCCCATGTACCCTCTTGGTCAGCAACTCACAGTCTGCTTGCTTTATTTTATAAGGAGTTAATCCCACTTTCTGGAACTTGCTCATTCTCAAAGTGAGTGGTTGTTAGCCCTCAAGACAGTCCGCAGAAATTTCAGCCCCATGGGAAAGAAAAAAATGCAGGTCTCTACCTGATGCTTGGAAAGCCAGCCATGTTAACTTTGTCAACACCAATGCTCATCAAATATGCACATTTATCTAGTGTTCCCAACCTAGATTCCCAGCCTGGGATTCTGTGGGCCAGAGGCCCCAGGGTAGAGATTATAGCCTAACATCCCAGCCGAGAATCTTTGATTGCAGATAGGAAAAATTCAGACATTTCTGAACTCCAAGACCACAGTGATTTACATGGCTTGGTGATAAGCTATTACTGATAAATTACTCGAAGTTTCTGCTTCCCCCAACTCTGGCAAGAACTTTGGCAGAACTTCTACGCCATATCCAGTACTAGGAACTTGCCAAGTTTATGTCCTTAAAATAAAGTGGGTTCCAAGATAGATGGCAGAAAGTGGGAAATGTGATTTTTCTTGATTGGGTAACTAAGAACCACACAGCAGGCGGGAGCCATTTTGGGCCAAAGAGCTGTTCATTTAAAGTGTTTATTGACACCTGGAAATAGGGATTAAACTTCAAATGCTATTTTCACATCAAGTTTATGCTCTATAATTTCATAATGGTGATAAAATCCAGGCAGCTACCAAAAGGAGAGCTCCCAAGTGATCTTACTACTGGGTCTCCCTAGTACAGACATTCAGGATCCTGGACCAGCTGAAGCCAGGGAAGGAAGCACCCCGGCGGGTCACCGGCTGATGGAAAGGAGGCGCCGTGATGGTTAAGTGTTTCCATGTTGGCTACCTGATTTCAGACGGTCTCAGCTTTGGTTGGTTTGTATGACTGCCTCAAATTCTCAGTGGTCACCCTTATTTTTTATTTGGAATGTGTTCCCCACTCTGTAGAGGACTGAGTCAGGGAGATGGCTGTGCATCCTTGAAGGGTTCCATTTTGACCCTGATCATCCTCAGTAGACATGGGTGCTACTCCAAGCGTGGCCTTGGAGGTTTGGGGACCGTGGACAGCATACAAATCGAGAGGTGAGGGACAGCCGAGGGAAAGAAACTACTCAGAATATGCGGTAAGAACCATGTCTGGTTTCTGTTTGGCAACACAATAATGGGATTCCTTGCATTTCTCCCAGAAAAGCATCGGTGGGGAAAAAACTGTTGTGGGAGGTGCAGTGATCATCAAATACTATGAAGGCCCATCATTGGACATACTCAAGCTGTGGAGAGCTGTGTTTTCCCAGAGAAATACCAATGCACAGGTAAGTTTGTATTCAGGACCCAGGACTCCTTGGAGCCATGGATACCCACCCATGACCCCTATGGGATGGGGAAATTCACAAAAGGCACAACAAAAAAAGTCTTTCAGGTGGGGCTGGGGAGGGCAGTGAAATGTTGGCTTATGCTTGCTTCCCGGTTCTCACTTCTGGCTGTTCTCTGTCCTCTCTCCACCTCGTCCTCCAGCAGCAGCAGCACAGAGCCATCTCTGCGCCCATCGGCCTGCCCCAGAGACCTCCCCAGCATGGTGTGGTGGGGCAGCTGGTGTTGTGAATCAGGCCGTTGCCAATCAGAGAACGGCTACTTCACAACACCAGGGCCGCACCACACTACAGGCAGCATTCCGGCTCCAGAATCCACAAGGGCGCCCTCTGGCGAGGCAGCCACACCCACCGCAGAGGACCGTCAGCTCCAGAACCCAGGCAGTTCTGGGCTGGCTGCTGCAGCTCCCCTGCAGACACTGGCCTCCTGAGGCTGCTGTTTATCCCCCAACACAAATGCTCTGCTTTTAAAGAAAAAGACACTCCTGGTAACATTAGCTTCCTACAGAGAAAATGATGCGACCAGGCTTCCCACTGTGAAAATGAAGTTATGGGCCATCAGGAGGGTTAAGCGCCACTCAGCTGAACATTTCCTCCTAGGTGCCAAAACACCTCCTAGGTGCAGAGCTGGGACCGTTGTTTTGATACTTGGTGATGGTAGCTTTGAATAGGGCAAAGTAGAGGAAAGGGAGGACCTAGTAATAGGACAGTGGCCTCCTGGAGAGAGGAAGGCTCTTTGTAGCCACATATACAGGTAATGCATCTTCTTCCTAGATGATCCCAGGGTCCCTGGAGAGCAAACACCTTTCTTGGCTGGGGAGAGTTCCACAGCTCTCCATCAGCACATATCCCAGTGACCTGAGTGCTGGATAAGAACCAAGCACGGGATTGTTCCTAGGGCACTGATCTGCCAGATACTCCATCAAAGGTAATACCTGCCATTCATTACCTGTGCTGACAGATGGGCTTCCTTTCCCCAGGTCCGTACAGCCATGGACCCAGCAGAGCTGGAAAACTAATGGAGGTCTCTAGAGTTGGAGTAGTATTTCGTGCCTAACTTAAATCTTATATGTGACATCACCATTTTTCAGAGCCCAAGCAGGAGTTTTCAAGATAGAGTGGCTGGGTTGGCTAGTGTCCTTTCCAAAACACTAATAAAAAGGAGGATGTTCCTCTCTCTAGCTTTTTATAGGACAAAGATCAAGAGCCACTCTGATTAACTCAGGCCCAGTCTATAGTCTGTTTGTATAGGGATCTTGCTGCTCTGAAAACCAGAGAGATGGATAAAAACAAGCACCATGCAAACCTTGCATAGCACCCAGGTTACATAGAGCCTGAGTTAACCAGAGCCACCTGCATCTGTATCACCTTAGACTTCTGGAAGGTGAGTCTACTTCTGTAAAGTTCTATCCCTCACCCCCATCCCTATATCGTTAACAGCATCTCTGAAATTTGTACTAAATTATGTTTAGGGACAAATATCTTCAAAGCAAAATAGTCCCAGTTTTCAGAAAGGGCTTCTTGCCGTCTCCTTCATCCAGTTACCAACTCGTCTACCACCAGCGGAGTCCAAGCCAGAGCCACTCACGGTGTGGTCCATGGGCGGCAGCTTCAGCATGTTGGAAAAGCAGGATCCCAAGGGCCACCATGCACCTGCTCCATCAGAATCTCCAGTGGCCAACTCGGGGAACATAGCAAGACTAATCTCTACAAAAAATGTTTTTAAAAATTAGACGGGGGTGTGGTGGCACACACCTGTAATTCCATCAGCTACTCAGGCAGCTGAGGTGAGAGGACCTTTTGAGCCCAGGAGTTTGAGGCTGCAGTGAGCAGAGATTGTGCCACTGTACTCCAGCTTGGGTAACAGAGCAAGACCCTGTCTCAAAAAAAAAAAAATCTCCAGTGGAGACAGCAAGCTGGGCAGGAACTCTGTTACAGGCACTCCAGGGGATGCTTCAAAACCACTTCCACCCGCTTTTGGGTCTCCCCACAACCTCTCCAGCTTCCATTTCAGCCTTCTCTCTTCCACACATTATAACCAGAATGATCTTTTCAAAATGCACTCCTAAATCATGCAAATGCCTCCCATTCCTGGCCTTGTAACTGCTTAATGGGTTATCCTCATGCTAACTTCAGTGGAACCTGTGAATGACATCCACTCCCCTCCCCACCCCTCCTCCCTTTCCATAAGATCCCTCTGGCCCCTGCCACAGGGCCTTCATTCAGCTCAGCCCTATCTAGAAGGCTCCCAGCTGCCTCCAAACTCCCATCATTGATGCCTGACCGTCCTCCAGGTTTTAGACAGAGCTAACTCCCACTACCCAGAAGGCCAGGTCAGGTAACAGCTCTTCTGTGCACTCAGCAAGCTGAATTCCATCCCTTCAGAACATTCATCTCATTTTGTCATTACTCATTCATGAATGGGAATCTTTGCTGAATCTGTGTCTTTCCCACTGGCCATAAGTTCCTTGAGGGCAGGGTTATTCAGCTTCATTCACTGCTGTACCCTCCAGCCTAGTTCAGTGTCTGGCACTGAGTAGACACTGAATCAATCTGTTCAATGAATGGAGAAGCACAGCCCAAGCCCTGTGTCCTTCAAGGTGAGACACTCTTGCTATTTGTTGAAGCCCTGGGTCTTTGTTTCCTTTCAGTGGCATCATTATTAATAGTAGCAGGCAATTACAGAGTAGAAACTGCCAGCCACTGCCCTGAGTCCTCCGTGTACATTTAGCCATATACTTGGTGCCTCCATTTCCTCCTCATAAGCAGGCAGGTCATGTAACCACCCTATCAGGTAAGTACCAAGACCACACCATCCATATTGTTGGTGATTGGTGTCACTACTGTTTAAACCCAAGCACTTTGGCCTCAGAGTCCATGTGTTGAGCCACTGCCTCCTGCTGCTGAGGAGCCAACGTGAAGGGGACAAAGCTGATGACGGAAGTCCAGGGCTGCTCCCAGGGACTGAGCAAAAAAGCCTTCTCCATTTTCAGAGGCTTCCACTCTGGTTTCTTAAACCAGGTAGACCAGGCAGTGTTCTCTCCCTTTGTGCATTTGTAGATTCTAACCTTGTTTAAAACACTTCATAATGGAACCTGATTAAAAACCTAATAAAATATAAAATGGGGTCAAGTCCAGAGAGAGAATGAGAGAACCATTTAAGATCCAGAGGATGCTCTACTTAATTTTGGTATTGAGCTGCTGAATTCATTTGAAGTTTGCACAGTGACCTTCAGAGGTCGAGACCACAAAGGCAAATTGTGCTCCCCACCCACCTCACCCCACCCCTGTCCAGAACTGTTTCCTCAAGGCTAGCCTAGGGGAGCACAACCTTGGGCTGCCTCCCCCGCATGCTTAGATCCAGCCAGAGCGCCACCCCTGGGCCACAGACCTCCATTCACATTGTGGCTTCTTTTCCAAAGTGTATTCACCTCATTGAGAACAGCCTCTCCCCTCCTGAACATTCCAGACCTTCCACTTAGGCTGACTTAACGCCACCTGGCCAGAAAAAAAGAGTGTCCATTCCCCCTTTTCTAAAACCTTGATTTTGTGATCATTTGAAGCTCTGACTTTAGAATCTCTGTATTATAACTTCCTTGGGATCCTACCTTTGCAGCTAGCCACATTGCAAATTATAAGACTCTCTCTGGAGGCCAGTTGTAGACAACCAAAAACCCTGGTGATGTAGGGAGCTCGCCAGACACACACTTTTATACCCGCCACCTTGTCTTAAGCTGGTTACCATCTGCTGACCCCAGTCAGGTCTTCTGGGAAAAGCTGGGTTTGGGAAAGGAGTTCCCCGAATGTATTTAATAGCAAATGGAGCAATGGTTCTCAAAGTGTGCTCCCTGGAGCAGCAGCGGCACCAGCATCTCCTGGGAACTCATTAGACATGCACATCCTCCAGCTGCACCCACCCCTGCTGAGTTAGCAGCTCTGGGGTAAGGCCAGTGCACTCAAGTTTGAGAACTACCAAAATAAAGTAAAAGATGGGGGAGAAAACCCCTCGAGTATCAAACGTTAGAAGGCCACAATAGTGGAGCGTCTGTGCCTACCATTTGCAGAAATGTGGCAAGTTTAGGGTGTTTACTAATGCATGTTGAATAATGATTCTCTTAAAACTTTTGTGAATTGTAAAAGTAAATCCCTAGGGATGCTGGGCAGTGATAACCTGACTCTCCCATTTTCACCTGCACACACATGCCCAGAACATCCTCTTCTCCTTCATAACAGGGAAGTTGGAAGGTAAAAGTTATTTTCTACCAATATAAAGTCTTAGATTTTTATTTATTAAATTCTTAACACAGTATATGGCACAGTTACCTTTTAAAGGCTTTCCATTTATTTAATCTGAGCCCACAACAACCCCATTTAAGGAGAGGAACTAAAGCCAGAGAGATTTAGGAGCCAGCCTGTACCTCAGGGATGAGAGACATTACTTGCTGGAGCAGAGATTTGAGCTCAGCAATGCTCCCAGACCCACACTTGCCCTTGCTTTTGATTTTCTACCTCCCTAATGAACAAGTGGGGATTATAAAGTCAGCTGTGCCCAGCTTAGAGCACCTGTTTCTGTCTGAGCAATGAAAAGCCATTTGATTGGCAGTCAACTTGGAGAAACTCTGACCTTAAATGATAGTGCCATAAAGACCAAACACACTGGGCAGTCATATCGTTTCAACATGACAAAATTTGTCACACTTTTTTCTCAAGGCGGCCTTCTGTTTTTTTTTTTTTTGCTAGTGGCAGGGGTAGATTTCCTTGTTTTACTGGTAATTATCACCTTTTACCTTAGACTTCATAGGTGGTCTTTTATGCATTCCTCGTGAAAGCCATAGCCAAAAGCCTTTTCAACCCCAAGCATCTGTCTCGTGGTAGGTACTGGCTTCAGGCAAGTGGCTTCTGTCATGAAGAAAATATAATAATTTGAGTGTCATTGCTACAAGGCAAGTGTTCCTATGTACTCCATCACACCAACTGCAGTGAGACTATCAGGAAAGCTTTGGGTACCCTCCCCGGGAAAACTGCACATCACTCTGCTGAAATTTCAGGAAAAGTTTACGGGTCTCAAGGACAGAGCTGAAGTCAAAAAATTTCACCTTCATGTTAACTTTTATGGATTTTTAAGGGGAGGGGCAAAAAAATTCATTTCACCATTCCCTTTGTCTTCTTAAAACTCAGAAGAAACCTCACACACACACCAATGAGTTTGAAATCGCTATTTTAAAAGGCATAGCAGAATTTTGATAGAAAAATAGAGCAAAATAAGCAGTAAAACCTCATCCCTAACATTCTCCAGCTGCCTGACATCCTGGTTCAGTTCCAGAGACTTTGCATTGCTCCCTAGTTCCAGGGGGTGGCACAGGAGCCAAAAACGAGACCTGAGGCTGAGGCCCAACAGAAGATGAAACTTGGGAGCAGCCTCAGCTCCAGGAATCCTCACTTCCTGGCACAGCAGGTTTGGGTGCCGCAGAGCCCAGGGCTAGGCGCCTGCCAGCAGTCCATCAGTCACAGTCTCAGATGAGTGGCATCAAGGTGGAGCCCACTGAAGTGAAAGGAGCTATGAGGGACACCTGCAGCAGAAATGTCTGCCCCCTGCCTTGTCCCACTGAAGCTCCATCTCACAGTTGGGGAAGTGGAAGCAAAGGAACTTGTCCTAGACCACACAGCCTGGCCCTCTGTTTCCAGAGCCAGAGATCTTTGTGCTCTGGAACAAAGACAGTGACCCCATTAACCCACTGGCACGCACTCTGTGCCAAGCACTTGGCCTGTGTCATCCCATTGTGGCACAGAGCAGCCCTGGGAATGGAAGCAGTATCATTCCCATTTTTCAGGTGAGGTACAGGCTCAGAAAGGTCAAGAAATTTGCTCACGGTCTCACAGCTGGTGAGTAGGTTGTCAGACTCCAAAGATGTGTGCTGCTAACCCTGCCCAAAGGGACTTCATCCTCCTCCCTCCTTCCTAGACAGTTCTCCCGACCACCCGCCAACAGGCAACGTAGGTGTGACTGCCTTCAAAGGTTTTCTACCTGCCTTCAAGCTTGAAGCACTAGAGACTGAGGGAAGAGAGAACTGGAAGTAAAGGAAGAAAAAAGAGCTACTGCCCTCCTGCGGTGAACCTCCAAGGTTGTTCCCTCAGGCCTGACTGGACTGGAAGAAGCAGGGGGGGGGGCGGTGTGTGTGTGTGTGTAATTGACTTTGTGACCATGAAACTGAGTTAATACTCTTCTGTCTTTGCCTATTTCCTGTTGTCCATTGCCTAGAGGAATACCCATTAATGTTTAGAGGCATGGAATGATAGAAAATAACACTGTTCAAGGACCAAAAATTTTAAAATTGCTGACATACAGCATAGAATGTGAAAGTCCCTGATAATCTTATCCTTAGGGATAACCACTTGCCATTTTTTTGCAATTTGAATTTTTTTATGATTACAAAAGTCAGACACATTTAAAAATACTTTAAAACAAAATAAAAATAAATGCTTCATTGCTCAGGTTACCCTAGTACATGCAAGGTCTGAGACCACATCCATCAATGCAATTTGCTGCATGGATTACCAGATCTCCCCACCATTGACCTCTTGATTTTTTTTTTACTCTGAGAGCAAACAGAATGGGCAAGGGCCGACCTGAAATCCTTTTGAAACACAAGCTGAATCCTAGGGCTTTGACCTCCACTGCTCACTGCCACACAGGATCCATCTCTGTGCCCCACTCCAGCCCACCCCACTGGCCTTCCTGCTGCTGCTCACACAGGCC